AAGATTTCTAAAATAATATTTTGAGAATTTTGTGATTCAGCTACTTATATAATAATTTTTTAAGGTATATTCCTAAAAAATACAAAACTATAATTGTCAACTAAAATAAACTGATTAAACTCAAACTTCAGAAAAATTTATGATCATAAATTTTTAATATCATGTTTTTAATGACTTTATGTACAGATATTTAGAGACTTGGCAGTAAGACTGTTTTTGTCTTCTTCTTGCCCCGCCATTTGTATATTTTACAAAAGAAAAGTAATTATTTGTAATGGCAAATTGAGAAAAATTAAAAATTATAAAAAGTTAAAAATTATAAATTTCCTGTATGAATTTTTTTTATGTGAAGCAATTCTTCAGTCAGTTCATTTTTGGACACATCACAAGAATATTTTTACGAAAAATGGGAGCAGGTACTCTTGATTTCTACTTCAGACAGTTTTTGATATTTCAACAAAAAAGAAAATACAGAAAAGTTTCTTGAACTGCTGTAAAACGAGCTGTAAGTCTACCAATTACAGAATCAAGAATGTGATAAAAAAACGTTCTCCGAAATGTTACCTCCTCTTCTGAATCTGAATCGCAATTATAGACAACGGGTTCTTCTATTGTAGGATTGCTTGAACACCCTTGTAATTTCCTGACATGTCAACTTCATTGTCATAGCCTTGACCATGGCAATCTTTAAAACAAATTTTTAAAGTTTCCAAAGTTTACCAGAATTAATTCTGCAATATCAGATGCAGTCTTCTTGGCGCAATCTGCAAAGATCATAACTTTCACCAAGAAATAGATTCACATCCAAGATTTGTTCCAAGATTTTTCTCCAGGTGTCAGCTTCATTGAGGATTTGGTGATTCGTCAAATGTTCAATTGACTGATCGATTTGAGCTTTTAATTCACACTACTTAATGTAGCATCGTTTAAAGGTTATCGAATGCTCATGCTCAAGAATTCGATTGATGATATTCTTCCACTTCTTTCCATATCCCGATCCTCCAATCATTGTAAGGAATGAAGTCAAGTGTGGAGCTTAGTTTCTAGGTGAAAATAATTGACATGGAAAACAAAATACTTGTCTTTGCTGGGCTAAAAACAAGCCAATCTTGCGAGAAGAATTCCCCAAAAGCATTCTGCTTTTCAAAACTGACATTGGAAATATGTGGTTTCCAGTATCATTTGGCATATCCAGTGGGAAGGGAATGTAACTTAATGTAGAATTTTTTTTTTACATACTTTAGTCGTATTTATTTATTTTTTCTTCTCCAAGTATACCATATAAAATATACATTTATTATCGTGAAAAAAAAATAAAAAAATAAAAAAATAAATAAATATATATATATATATATATATATATATATATATATATATATATATATATATATATATATATATATATATATATATATATATATATACAAAATTATTACGTATCAGATTGATAAAAATACATAAATAAAATATTGATACATTAATGTAGCATTGTGCAAACTTTAATATAAGTTATAGTATAATAACTATTATATATATTTATTTTTTCTATACTTTAATACCTAAAAAAAAGGAAATCAAAGAAGATTAAGCATTTTTATGTTATAAAAATAAAAAAAAATATCCTCAGATTCCTTTAATAGCGCCATTTGGCGTAAATCTATGGGTATATATAAATGTTAATTAAGTAAACTTAGAAATAAATTTATTGTAATTAGCTTTGTAATTACTATTTCTACTGTTATATATATTTTTTAAATTTGATACAATAATTTTTACAAACTAAGAATATGCAGCTTTGCTTGCCGTTGAAACGACGATATTCCATTTAAGTCTTTTAATTTTTGGTTTTTCAAGTTTTTCCTTGTTTTGGGACCCTGTGACATAATTGAAAATTCAGAACCTCGTGTTTTAGTTTTTTTAATATAATAGTTATAGAAGCTATTTGATAGCAGATTAAAATTATAAATAAAGATATAACTAATTGATGACGAAAATATGTCTAAAAAAGAATTTGGTAACATATTATTTTTATATTTGAACATAAAAATAAGAATCTGATATAAATAAAGTTTTCTTAAGTTTATGAATTTCATATTTGTCATCGCATTAGAAGGATTGTTCATTCTATCTAGATAATGAATTGCTTTACAATCATGGTTTTGCAAGCCTTGTAGTTTGATTAATTTTGTTTTTTGTGTATTAGCCTACACTATATTAGCATATGTGAGATGGCTGTGAATTAGACTAAAGTAAAGTCTTTTTCTTGAACAGAAATCAAGAAATGATTCTTTTGTTATTTTTTTGTTGCTAGAACTACCTTTAATTGCCGTTCGATCGGCAAACCGTTTTTATATTTTTTAATATTGAATAAATTGCAGTTTGTTTAAATCCATGAATATTTGCAATTTGTGATGGTAAGTTTCCATTTAAATAAGGTTTAACTATCCTTGAACGGTTTTCATTGTTGATTGTTTGATTTGCCATTACTGTTTATAAATATTGAAAATGAGATTCAAACTTTTACTATGAACTGTGATTGTATTGAAATGACAAATATTTTGGATAATAAAATTATATTTGCTTTCTAGTAAAAAATTATGACATTAATTTGTAATTTGATGACAATTTATTATTTTTGTATATTGTTATACATTTTCCGAAACGTCGATGATTTTTTTTTTTGGTAACTCAAAATTAAAACAGGGCTGTATACTCATCTCTCCATTGAGCTAAAGGATCGTCCATAAAGTACATACGCTCAGAGGGGAAGAGGGGGTCTGCAAATGGCGTATGTGAGATGGGAGGGCAGTGGGTCAATTATAAAAGAAAGGAGATATTAAATTTAAAAAAAATATCATAAAAATGTTATATAATAGGTTAAAAGCGTAGGTACTTTTAGGGAGGTGGAGGGTACTCAAATAAGCGTATTACTTTTATCGTAACTTGAAATAATTAATATCCACATAATTTATTTTACATACCGTCAGCTCAGAATACAAGTGTAGTATCGATAATTTATGAAGACTACATATAAAAATGTAATTATTTAATAATAAATTTATGTAAATTTAAAATTGTGTTAAAAAAAAAATCTTCTTGTAAACGTTATATTGTAACGTTACATAAAAAGCTAGATATAATTGGAAGGAGTGCGCTAAAATCGCTTTTTAATGTTTTGAAACACAGTAAGAACTATACAAATTCGCTATTTAAAATCCAGGAAATTTCAAAAAGTATTCAACAAAATAAATTAAAATTGTTCCTTTGTCTTCTTAATAATAAAACCACTGCAGATATTGTCTTTTAACAGCTAAAACAACATCTATTTTAACATTCGTTTGTTAGCGATATCCCGGACCTATGCCAAATTATAGATGTTAAATTTTCAAAAATTCAAAATAAAAAGAAGGTATAAATAGCACTATCTAAAAGTGAAATTCCCTCTGAAGTTGAACAAACTTTGAAGTATGCAATAGAGTGCTGAAATGCAAAAGAACAAAGAGGAATTTTCAAACAAATTCTGGAGGAAAGAATTCTTAAGTGAAAATCAAGAGAAATAACTATTATTTTTTTTTACCTTGTAAATTACATTAGGTGTTAAATAAATGAAATAATAATAATTCAAAAATTTATTTACATTTACATAACATCAAAATTACATAAATAAGATAAATACATATTTATATATAATTTAAAAAAATTTTCGCCACGACACTTGTATTCCCAGCTGACAATATATGTTTTAAGTATATCCAAAAATCTATTTTTGAAACCATATTCATGATTTCAATGAATGTCCAATGTTTAATGCCTGCTTCAACTAAATAAGCAGCGTTGATAAAGAGGTAGGCGCAAAATTTCTTATTAAATGCTCTTTTATGAAATTGAAGAGCATTTAGCTAGAAACCAAAAATAATCATGCTCAGCATAATTATTTTCGGATCTAGCATTGCTGGATCCAAAGTTTTTTTGCAAATAAACAACTTTTAGGGATCACTATTTAAGTGATCACAAAATATTTAAGTGGATCGTGATCCACTTAAATATTTTGGGCACGTGAAATTTTTTCTTAAAAACATGGAGGTTTCAAAAAAGTAGCGAAAGTGCTCATATAACCCAGACCACTTGGTAATATGTGGACTTTATATTAACTCTAATAAATAACATTAATAAAGTAAAAAAATACCAACCTAACAACTAGAATTAATTTATAAAGTATAATGATTCGTTATTAACAAAATTTATTATTAAATGATCAAACTTTAAGCAACTTTTTATTGTAACAATACTACTTTGTTTTACGCAAAAAAACAAACAACTCAAACCTTTAAACGATAAAATTACAAGTTTTTTGAATTTATATTACAGAAAGATTTTTTTTTTTTTTTTTAATTATTTATATATATGTATTGAGCTTGATTTAGTATTGTTAAAATATTAAAAATTTTGTCATGCTTTCAATTAAATAGCAATTAAGACATTTGCAATTTTAGGACTTTAAACTATGTAATTTGAGCATGCTAATTAGGGTACAGCGAATTTTTTTTTTTTTCTAAAAGCTTAGGAAAAGGTGTACTTTTATGTAAAATCAAATTTTAAAGAGGGTTTCTTAAAAAAAAATTTTGATCGGAAAAAGTTTTGATACCCAAATATGGACTTTTAAAAAAATAGCAAAAATTAGTAAAATCTAATTTGTCACATGTCCTTCATTGTATTTTATATTTTCATTTTCATTGCGATAAAATATTAAATGCAAATAATATTTTTAGATTATTGAAAGTTTTTTAGATACTTTTTAAAATCATTATCTTGCATGGATCCTATCTGCAGTGCAGATTCTGCATTTTTTAGAGGGAGGAGAAGGGGGTATTCAATTTTTTATGAGGTTCTAATGAATAAAAAATTTGATCATAACAGTTCTTTATACTTTCACCAAAAAATAGGTGGTTTATCCCCCTATCTTACCCCAATAATATTTTGATAGAACTACTAAAACACTATTAAAAAACAAATAAAATAAAAATCTATTAAAGTTAAAAATTTAATAAAATTTCTTTCTTTGTTTTAAAAACAGGTAGCAACTCTCTATGCTGAGCTCTAGCTCTAATATAACCATCTCTTGCATATGGTCCAACTACTGACATGGATGCTACTGTCACTTGTTTTACAGCACGTTCAGTACTTTGAGTATGAATTTTAATCGAAGGAGTTATTAAAGGTATCAATCTAAGTAATAACAACTTATCTCTGGTGAGCGAACAAGTAAAAACAGGTTCTTCTACAACACCATTTTCCCATTTAACTAGCTCTTGAAGAGTAGTTGCTGCAAAGTTAAGTTTAGGTGTTTTTCTTGGTCTGATTCGCACATCTCCAAGGATATCATTACCCCTTAGTTTCAAAATTGGATCAACTGCAAAATTGCGCTTTTCTGCATTATTACTAGATAATAAAGAGATTAGTATACTTTCATGGTTCGCATACCAAGCCCCTAACTGGATGTAGGGAAACACAATTTCTTTTACTCTATCAGGTTGCATTCTAAGAATTCTCAATTGAGACAGAATGTGATAAGAAGCATCTTCAAGTCTGTTTTTGACCTTTATGTCAAAAAAAAGTTTAAAGTAAAATTGTAAACAAAATACAACAAGTATTTCTAGATTTTGCGAATTTTGATCATTTAAGTTGTGTTTCCTTGTCCACATAAAGACTATTCTCGTGCCAGTAGTGAGCCACCTGGCATGACTTAAGGGGCCACATTGAATTTCTCTAAGATTAGGTGGCAATAAACCAATCTTAACTGCTTTACATAGCTTGTAACATTGTTTCTGATCTGTTGACATATTTTTTAATATTGTTTCTGGAATGTCGACAAAGCTCTCTCCATTTGGAAGAGCTTTAAATTGAGGATTATACTCCATTTTATTAACATCAGGAAGAAATTTTCCCACAGGACCTACAAATCCAGTACTACATGATGTTGGTCCATCAATGCCTTCTATAAGGTGACGCAAAAATAATTCATTCGAATGAAGCATGCATATAGCCCAGTGGCATTTGTGACCTCACAGCTTTTCAAGATGCGTTATAGCACCACCTTTCCAGCCTGTGTTAATTGAAGTACTGTCAGCTCCAAGTACTAAACATGATTCAGTAAGATTATATTGTTCCAGCAAATTATAAACACCTTTAGCAATCTTTTTAGCTGGGTTATCTAGATGATTAGGTGCATTTGGGGTAAAATGTCCAAGATATCGACCACCAGGTTCTATAGTCACAGTAATGTGCTGCTCTTTGATAATAATAGGATGTAGCTGTCCATTTGAATCATTTATCATTGCTCTTGTTGAATCTTTCCTTCCGTCAAAGTAAATGGCAATATTATCTGCTTTCGGAAGTTTTAAATTATCTTTTTTTTTTGCAACTACCATCACCTTTTTTCTCTCTCTCGTCAACTTAGAAGGATCACAAGCAAGGTAAGAGGACTCAGGGGTGAGAAATCCTGCTTCAATTAAATCTTGAAGATAACTTGTAGCAATTGCTGCAGTTGCGGCAGGTGAAGTCCCAAACCTATAAAATAAGAATGGTTTATATTTATTTCTATTAACTCATGTTGCTGCTCAACAAAACAAAAGTCAATATAATTACCTTATACTAGCCATAGCTGTGTTTTTTATTGACATGGTGTTATATCTTGACTTCTTTTCTAAAAACCGTGTTACAAGGAAAGCATAAACACCTAACTTTTCCTTTAGCAGCCTTTTAACCAAAATCTTAATTTTATTGTCTTGTTTTAAAGTTAAGTTAACATTATCTAGATTATAGTTTTTATCGAGAAAGCCAGGAAAAATATTTCTTTGATGTTCTTTATCTTATTCTATATCTTCTTCTTCTGCGACCTAAAATCGAATTAAAACCAAAATACATATATATATATATATATATATATATATATATATATATATATATATATATATATATATATATATATATATATATATATATATATATATATTTTATTGTTATTATTATTATTATACGAAAAAAGAAAATATTTATT